TATAAGCCTTTTGTCTTATCCCCTCCCATTTCTCATTGCTAGGGCTTTAGATCATTATATACCCCAGAGTAATTAAAGAGTGCAAAGTTCATTCCTGTGTCTGATTTCTTCCCTGTAACCAGCTCCCCTTTGACCTGATCTCTTCGGTGGCTCAGAGCGTATCCATGCCGATAGTCTGCCTAGCGTTTCCACGGCCATGACAAGAATCCTGCTCTCCCTGTTCCCTCGAGCTCAGGGACTTCTTTATTTGGACTACAGAGATACAGTGCTAAAGGAACTGCCAATTGTTTCTTGAGCTTTGTTCTCTCTGGTTACTGGTCACATAAATCACATTAAGAGCTATGCGGTGTAGGGAGCTGACAAAGGTTCTGCGGTCTGGAGAAACAGGTTCAAACCTGATTTTGGCGATAGGTAAAATGAGTTTGATGGTTCCCGTCTAGTCCACAGAGGACACAACACAGCACTTTACAATACAGTAAGTCTGAGCCCGAGTAGAGAGCAGCAAGGAGGATATAAATAGGGGTTATGATGCACCGCAACCCGGTGCAGAGCTGGGGAGGGGCTTGCCTGGCAGAGCAGAGAGGCTGTAGGACAGGGCTGAGAAGCGTTAGCAGAGCTGTGTGTGCAGAAGCTCACGGGGCGTTCTGATCAGGAGTGTCCTCAGTCACTCCTGGGTACAGCACAGCTCAGCAAATTAAAACAAAAATGCTGTCACCTGTAACTGCTCCATGACCTCCTTGTGCGTCTTCTCCATTTGGTTCATCTTTGCCCTCATCTGCGACTCCTGGTATTGCAGGTCAGCTTTCAGCTCTGTGATCTGCAGATAAACCAGTAAGGAGCAAGTGAGCTGGAAGAAGAAATGAATGCCTTAACCCCAGACGCACCTTGCCACAGAAAATGCCTCTGCAGAAGCTCCGTGAGACTGGATGAGTTCGGAAATGTGCTGGGGTGGGCAGGGGGAGCGCCGTGAGACCAGAACCGTATCACTGAGCGCCACAGAGAAGCAGGAGTGGCCAGGGCTGTCTTTCTGCACAGAGCAGTGTGGTTTTTCTCAGCCTTGCCGCCACACGGAAGTCTCTGAGACAGTGGTCAGAAAATGGCCCTTTATGAAATGAGATCTCCTGGGTGGGTCCAGAAAGCCTCTTTAACTTTGGAAAGGAGGCCGCCTGGAAACAGCCAGAAACTCCCTTGCTCACTCCAAGATAAAAAGCCAGACTCCGCTGGAGTGTGATCTGTGTGAACATGTCAGCATGCTGTGGGGGGAAGCAAGCCAAGGGCTGTACCTTCTTCTCCTTCTCCAAAATCATCTGATCTTTCTGGTGCAGCATCTTTTTTAAAGTAGCCACCTCCTCCTTCAGCTGGGCAATGATAACAAAGTGGTCAGTGCCAGGAGAGTCCAGGGCGAGGTCCGGAGAAAAACTGCAACAAAGAAGAGGGAAAGACTCTCATCACGACCCCTTCTCTTCACTGAGGCAGGGAAACCCCCACAGATAGCACTCGAAGGAGAACGGGAATCATTTCATGACACACACCGTGTCCTCCGAACACTCCTTGAATGCAGGTGTTACCTGTATCCCTGCCCTGGATGCCACATGGAATTTGGGAAACACATGGTATGGCAGGCAACAGGGATTACCTATGATATAGCGAGTTGTATTATTGCGTGATCAGCACGGACACGGGACTCCTACGGGTGACCATCGGCCAGTGTCTGCAGCACCCATTCAAACAGCAAGGACCCCTTTTCAAACCAAAGCCTCGAGGACAACCATCAGACAGCTAATGAAACTTTATGCAACCGCTTAGGAACCCTCTTTGCTCACAGGCGGTCCTTGGATGTACAGCAAAACTTTTTATTAAATATAAACAAACATTCCGGCAAGGAGGGAACACGAAAGAGAAACAAATAACCTCAAGTTAAACAAACAAAGCAAAGGGACACACCTAAAGTCAGCACTGTCCTCAGCAGGGAAAAGGGGTAAAAAGACACGCTGGACTTTTGTATTTTGATTCCACCATGATACAGCAATTTAGGAAGAAGCTTCATTACCACTTCAGAGCAGGAAAAATTCTCCAGGAAGACAAGAGAAATAGCTGAGCACACCACTTGTACATCACCAGGTACTCTAAACCTAAGCAACCAGCTGAAAACTTATCTGGACATGAGTCACTCCCCTGCACTGGTAATTCGCTAATCTCCTCCCTACGAGAGACCCAGTGATCTGGGCAGCCACGCAGTGTCTTACGCTACAGTATTTCAGATCATAAGATACGATAAGCTGCAGCCACAGGCCCAGGGAGCTCACCTGATCTTTGCCTGCATTCTGTTCCTTACCACTGTAATGGTAAGCCCGATTTTTATCTCTTGGTGCTAAAAGGGCAGCACACTCCCAGCCGCGCACACCTGAAACGGCTGTATAAAAATTTAACAGTAATAAGGCAACAAAGCTTCACCTAGAAGATTCCTTCAAGTCTGGCCATTATCAGACAGCACTGCTGCTATAAAGATAAATAGCCAGGGCTACCTGAAGCCTGACATTTTTTTAAAGCCTCCAGAGTAGGTCAGCACATGTCCTAAAGCCTGCATTCAGCTCTTAAGCTGGGAGCTGCAGCGGACCGGGGAAGGCACGGTCTGAACCCGAATCACTGCCTCTCTCAAGTACGCTGCCACCTCCATGCTTCCAGTCCCCCATCTGTACACCGAGGCAGACAGTACCGGCGGCTCACCTCACACAGGGGTCTCCTCTAGTGCCTGGAAAGAATCCATTTTCTAATTAAAAGCACAGTCTGCATTGATTGGACCGGGTAGCAAGGATGCGGCAGAAGAAGAAAAGGCTCTTTCCACCACTGTGCTGGGGATCTACAGAGGGAAACTAAGCAGGGGCAGCTTCACAGATCTGAAAGTCACAGGGTAGCCCTGCGGCACTGGGACAGAAAGCTTGGCAAAGGAAAACTCAGAACTGAGGGTCTGTAGGAGACAGCCCACGGTGGAAGAGCCTCGCATGGTTAAAACATGCTGACAGCAGAGCCCACGGCGTAAGATGTGACAGGTCTCCGAGTACACTGGAGCTAGCACTGTGCTTGTCATGCTGGGCAGCTCTCAAGTGCAGAAGAGGTTCATACATGCACACTAGCGGAGAATACCTCCATTTTAAAACTGTTCCCGAGTACAGTTTCCCCAAGTGGAGGCTGTGCAAGATGACGGTGGGTGCTCCAGCACCTTTCTGTGTGCAAGCATGTTACTAACAGTAGCTTTAATTTCCCACTCAGTGCGAATATGCTGGGGAGGAGAGAAAGGGAAGCAGCCTTCACAGAGGAAAAAAAAAAGGCTTCCTCACTGATTCTCTCTGGCTAAAAACAAACTCTTGCTTACACATTCCTTTGCCCAGGCAAGCTTCCCTGCTGCCATATCCTGGGGTGATAAAGACTGCTGGGAGATGCTCACATTTCCCTGAGCAGCTCTGGCAGGAAAAATTCCCTCCTTGGCAGCTCCTGTTGCAGAGCACACTGCAGAGCCGGGAAGGTGAGAGCCGGCCCTGCCACCCAGCGGGGAGAAGGGACAGGCGGGCCACCAGCCTTCCACAGAGCCGCTCTCGAGCTCAGCAGAGCCGGTACCCGACCCCAGGGCTCCGAGGGCCTCCGCCTGCCCCCGGGGTCTGCACCCACAAGTGGGTAACGGAGGGCTCAGAGTGCCCAGGCATCCCCTCCTGTCGAGTACGTGGGCACAGGCAGGTATTTTCCCGTCCAGTTGCTGCAAATGCACTCTCAAATGTGTCAAGGTGCTAAGTAAAGAAGCAGCTTCCCCCCCCCCCCCTTTTTTTTTTTTTTTTTTGAAAGACTGACAAGTTAGTAATGAAAGGTTTCTGTCTTTGACCCCGCGTTAAGGAAGCAGCCCGAGACTCCAAAATTAGAAGGAAAACTGCCAAATACAAGTCACTCCATTCCTTTAACAAAGACTAAGAATTAAAACAACCAACCAACCAACAAAAAGCCATTTCCCCTACAAATAAACTCCACACCCAGGATCCCAGCCCCTTGGGATAGGTCAGGGGGACATGCTGTCTCTATGTTTGAACAGTCTAAAATGCATGCCTCTAATTAAAGTGAATTGATGAGCTCCCATTGCTTTCAGTGAAGACAGAGGAAAAAATGGAACTCTTCCAAAGACACCTGCCTCTCTCTATTGAACGGACAAGAAACCCAAATGACTGCCTTAAACTCCACACCTGTTAAATGGCTGAAATTAGGCAAAACGAACGCCAAGCTTAAAGATTTTGCTATTGAAGTCGGGCTAGCATCAAGAGGCACAGACCAGGCTGACCGAACCAGCATCCGAGTTTCACCTTAGACAAAAATATCCCCCCAGAGCAAAAATCCATCCAGGCCGATAGGAACCGGCATCTGAACTTACACTTCCTCTACCGCCACCAAAAGCAGGCGCAGTTCAGCCCAAGTGCCAGTGCTTTAAGCGTACGCCAGGACTTTTCTATGCAGATGAGAATCTTTTTACTAAAGGAACTTTGCTGCTCAGCATCCTCCGGCATCACTGCCCTCCCCCAGCCAGCTCAGTCAGTAGCGCTCATCGTTGGCTGGTGTTAAAAGCACAATTTAGCACCTTGTCTATAGTCACGGGAGAAGGGACCGCAGCGTGTTCATCCGCAGAGTCTGTAACATAAAGACACTTCTGGCAGCGTTTGCACAAGAGGATGGGGACACCGAGCGCTGCCTGAATCAGGACCAGCACAGCACCAGAGGCTGGAGGCGAAGCCAGGGTGCTCACACGCACAGGGGCAGCCCAGGAGAGCGGGATTAGTAGGGCAAGGTCTGCTGCAAGCTGTGCTGAGAGTCACTGCGGGGGAAAGCTACTCCGCGCGCAGCAGGGCCAGTTGCTGTTAGCTCCTCACAGAGCTCACCCAGAACGAACCATTCAACGCCACCCGTTAAACGACCACTGGAAATTGCTCAGTCCGCATATCACAGCCATTGGGAGCAACATCCGCTCCGAAATATGTAAACAAAAACATACAGAGGGAATTCAGTAAGACATGGTAAAGGAATTCCTGTTGTATCTGCAAAGGAGCAACAATTTCAGATAAGCTGGACCGTGTTGGGGGTGTTGCCAAAGTGAGCTGAGTTCACGTATGCCCAGATTTTGCCCAGCTGAAGGCTGCATCAGAAGTTTGGCTGGAGCCAAGACACACTGTACGGAAAGTTGCGGCCGATCTCAGCAGCGAAGAGGTGCTGGCTGTGCATCACCCCACTCCAGACCACGCTGATGATGAAAACAAGCCTTGCCGCCCCTAACTCCATACTCGGGTTGTGACCCAGACTCCAGGCTGACTCTGGGGGGGGATGATCTTATAGAGAATGGTGCAAGAGGGGAAGGTTTTGGGGGGTTCATCCTCACAAAAAAACCCAGCGACTCCAAAAACACACTTAATGAGCCACCATTATTATTCTACTCAAGAAACGCAGCCACGTGTCTAAGGCAGCTGCAGCTTGCCTTTTCTACAGCACGTTGCCGGAGCTCTTCAGTAGATACAAAAATTACACACAGGTTGTTACTGGGATTCACCAAAACAAGTCTGTGGCAAGGACCACAGCCTTGGCAGGAGCCAGACTGACAACATCTGACACAAGAGCAAACAGAAATGAAGGCATCTGACTCCCCTAATACATGCTCCTGTTTTGCAAACGAATGGCTGAGCCACTGATGCCAGAGCATGGGACCTTTTGCTCCTTGGATATTTTCAAGCCAGCAGTGGTATTACAATGAGTTGTTAAGTCTCAGCCCGGGCTTTAGCGAGCAGGTAAAAATACCTGGTGCCGTCCTATAGCCCGAAGAGCAGCCTCAGTAGGTGAGCAGGAGCCTTAACGGGGCTCTAGAGGGAAAGCTGCAGCAATACTGCTGGGCTGCACCGGTTCTACCACGGACCTGTCTCCAGTCTCTCCTCTGGCTCCAGCAGCACTAAAGGCAGTCAGATGAATTCTCTGACCACTCCATGCCCAGCCGGGGCTCCCAAGCCACAGTTAATCCTTAGATTTTTCCAACTTTTAACTGCAAACACCGTTCAGATGATAAATGGTCTTTTCCACCACTCTGGGGGAATCGCTGCCTTACAAAATTATTTAAGTTCTATTTCCCATTGCAACATTTCACCAACATTGACAAGGTGTCAATAGTATCTATAGGCGAGATGCGATCTGTGGTCTCGAAGAAAAGACATTCAAGGTAGGTAGCGATTAATTAATTACCGGTGGCTTTAACAGACCCTTTGGCGCTAACGAGCCTATGCTCTGATCCGTGCTCCCAATTCACTGCTGTTTGGAAAGAGATCCATCGATAGGGGCAGTTTCCACGTATGAGGCAGTTCCCGGGGAGGGAGGGCAACAGGGGAGAAAACAAGAGGTGATCTCACTTCAGGATGTCAGTGCCTTGAGAAACAGGACAATGGTGGGCACCGAGACTCTGTTGGGAAGCAGCCCACTGCGCCAACGTGGACGGGGCACTCTGGATAGGGGGACAAAGCATCTCGGGAGAGGAAGGAACGCTGAGAATCAGAGAGGAAAGGCAGGAATGAAAATATGCACGTACAAGACCGTAAAAAATAAAAATCCATCTCAATCTCCTTTTTCTGCTAGTGACTCCCATTCTGCTGCGCATGCAGCCAGTGTCAACATAATCTGGCACAAACTGTGACAGCAGAATGGGATCGGATGCTTTCAAGCAAAGCTGTTTGATTGCCTGTCCCTCCCCCAGAAGGCAGGAGGGGAAACGGGAGGTGGGTCTTGATCCTCTCCTCTCAGGCCGTCTCCCTGCAGATCAGTCTGACGGCCCCGAAAGCACAAAACCTGCAGACCTCAACTCTACAGCGCAGCCAACAGTCCCCCTCTCCCTGTAACTGCAGAGAGAGGACAAAGCTGATCTGGCTGCAGTTTTTCCAGCTGTTGGGGAGCTCAGCCAACAAGCAGTTTCTATTCTAGCAGGTACAGGCGCTAGGTGTTCTTTTCCTCTTCAAACCTATGTCTAAATGCCAAGTAACACTGGCCTGCCAGGTTCTGGACAGCTGCTAACGCAGCCCCTCGAGGTCCCAAAGCCCGGGATCCCTGCTCTAGCATAAGAGCTTCCTGCTATTTGCACAGAACTCTGTCTTATATAAACTTAGCAAACAAGACTGCCCACCCCCAATTCCCTCATATAACAGGCTCACCTGTCGCCATTGGCAGATATGGCATCAAACTTGGCTTTCTTCTTTGGGATTTCGTTCTGAATAGAAGAGGTGGATAAGGTTTTCTGGCTAGAAAAATGAGGAAATTGTATGTCAGAACCTGAATGACTTGCAGTCTAAGACAGAGAAGCAGATAAATATTCCCACCCACTTTGAACCTATTAAAACAACATTTCCTAGCGCAAGAAAGAACGATACAAAATTAATTCCCTGAAGAGTAGCTGGAGACTAAAAATAAACAGAAAACAATGCGTCAGTCAGATCAGTACGTAGGTGAAGAACTCATGCTTAAAATCTACATTTCAATCATTAAATTTTACAAATGCAATTTAGCTTTAATTGTGTACAAGTTCAGTAAGCTGAATCACCAAGAAGCACTGTCGGACTACAAGTCTACTCCAGCACAGTGGGGTTTGCAATCTAGCAAAGCCTGACTTAGCCAGATTCTCCTGAGCAACAGACGGCTGCCAAAACCCATCACCAAGGTACCGGGCCCCCAGGCGCTTCTCCCAGTTACTTTAGGAAGCGTACCTAAGGAGCGTGGCGCAGCCAGGCACCCTGTTTGCTCACCCCAGAGGCAAGCTCAGCCCGCACAACGGAAAAGCTTGTGCAGGTTACCTGTTATAGTGGCTGCCACCGCTGAGCCTACTGTACTGTTCCTTCTCTTGCAGGCTTGCCCGGGAAGAGCTGCTCAGGTGTTTGCACTGCTCTTTGGTCTTCTGTAGGACCCGTTTATAGGATAGCGTGCATAACCAGCATAGCAGCTTTCCATCCACCTGGAAGGCGAGAGAGAAAGAGAGGGAGAGAAGTTTTGGTCTTGCTTCCTGCCCACAAACCAAACACAGAGAAGACAAGAAGCACCTTCAGGCTTAAGATCACATATGTGCAAGCAGCGACTCAAAAAGGATCCCTCGCGTGCCTGGAAAGGGTAAGAAGTGCATCTGGCATGGCTGGTGCAATGCAGACAGTACTCATCAATAGCAGCTAATCTATCGTAACTGCAGTCTCTGCCGAGCTTTGCTTACAGACCATCTTATAGCACCCATTCACCAAGACAGGCTAACTCTAGTGGGATGTCTGCCAAGGCACTGCCAAGGAATGGTACGTGACAGGGTAGTCACTGGAGACCAAAACAGCAAGGGTCTCTGCTCAAGGAGGACAGGGATTATCAGTGCAGCATCCAAAACGAACAATAGATGTTTGCAGCCTGCAGGAAGCAGGCCTTAGAAATACACACCTCCTAAGGAGCACTTAGGTTGTTTAAGCAAAGGGGGCGCAGGAGCCATGGAATGGGTTTCCTGGTGGAGGTATGACACTTGCAGCTCCTCAGGCTACGGCACAAATATCGTTCCCCATCCCTCTCCCCGAGCAGGTACCTCACATTTCACTGAGGTCCCTCCTCCTTTGCCAGCCCACCTAACCCTTAGGCCAAATTCAAGAGATCTTTCTCAGTAGATCTGACAGAGGAGTAGAGGGGCTCAAAGATTAAACAGCTCCAAAACACAGCTCCCACAGCAAAGCTGAACTCCAGAAAAATACTTTACAACCCCCTTTTGAAACGCTCGGGAACACGTGAAGGAGATGGACAGACAATCACTGTGATCAGCCTTTTTACCTTTTCGGACTCCTTTTACAGAGATACTGACCTTCTTTCTGTCATCCTTCCGGTCAAACGCACACTGCTGCTTGCACTGCTCACAGGAGTGAGGAGGTCCATACTTCTTTTCAGAGTTTGTGCAACGCTGGCACTTGTTTCCAATAAACGCTGCTATTATGTTGCAGTACTGGCAGGGTTTTGGCTTTAAGAAACAAAAACAACTGATACAGCAGTGCCTTCTAATTACATTAATACATTGCTCTTTCCCCTTCTCCCCATCACTTCAAACTTTTATTTCCCTGTTCCAAGCTAACTATAATGCTGATCCAGGAGACGTAAATACATTTGGACCCCCGGTCCCTAGCTAAGTGTATTTAGCCATGGCACCCAGACCATTTATCAAGCGCTATGAAATGTTTAGAAAATGTATAACGCCAAAATAGAAACAATCAAAATCTCTTTTTCAGATTTCAGACAAGCAGGAAAGAAAGATTTATCACTGCTTCCTGCAGCAATCTCAGTTTGTGTAAGCACGCTCTTGTTTCTATTGGCTATCGAATAGTTCATTTCCTGGCCTACAATGATGCAGAGCTGCTCTTTTCTGTGGTAAAAGAAGAGAAAAGGTAAAAGCTTCACGCTTGAGGGACGCGCGTATTATTGATCAGTCATGCTATTACAACAGAGCCAGCCCATAACCGCTCTGGGATTCAATAAAGACAAGAAAGATGAAAGGAGAAGAGGCTGGTGAGAACGATCCCCGCTCACTTACTGTGCCATAGAGCTTCACATTCTGAGCACACTTCTTGCATATTGTGTTGGTTTTGCTGTTAAAAAGAAGGATAGATCATTCTATTAACGCTTCCCCAAAGAAAATTAAACCTCTGTGGTTAGGATCCCAGTCCCCCCTAGGCTCCGTCTCTAGTGGCGAGGCTGTATTTGCCTTCACTAGGGACTCAGATATCAAAGTGCATTTCCTATCCCCATCTGGTTGAGGATAATTTGCCAAAAAGTGGTATTACTAGGAGGTATCTTTTAATTAAGGCATCCCCAGATGACACCAGTTTTTTGTCCTTACAAATACAGGAGTCTGATCACGGGCTAATTGGCAGCAGGCGTGATTCAGCGCTGGTGACAGCCTCGGTTCTGGAGGAGGTCTGCTCTGGTTGACAAGGTTAAGGGAGGTCAGGACAGAGGTGCATTTGTCCAACAAACACAGGAAAGAACACCCCACACAATGCCCGCACGCAGCTACTGGGTTTACCAATCCTTCCTCTGTAAGCTACCTAACTTGCAAAAAGGCAAAAAGGCAAAAGCACAGCTAAAGGAAACACATTAGGAAATCATTTTTGGATACCAGAAATCAGGTAAGAGGAAAACTCGTGGGAAGATGCACGCAGATCCTTCATTGGAAGATGCATCTGAGCACTGACCAAAACCAAAAGCCAAGCAAAAGGTGCAAATCTAAGGGCATCGCAGAGGCACACGGACTCGCCCGGCAGACCTTTGAAGAAGGCCAAAGGTCCCCCAAGTCTTCCACAGCAACAATCTACAGGTTAAGGCTCAGTCATCAAAGGTGTGGAAGCATTACAGTTCCCCGGGTGTGTCTGTTCTAAAGAAAACATAGGTCTCCCCAGGTCAGCGGGCATTTACCTTTCCTGCTGGAATTCAGTCCTGCAGTAAGTGCATTTAACAATGGGATGCGCAATCCGGCACTCCTGCAACAACAGAAGCGTTCGGTGAGATGCAGTGCTTCTCCCGCACACCGTTTCCCGAAATCCCAGACCACCTGCTGACCTCCGCTCCCACCACACGCACACACATCCGTCAAACTCAAAACATTTCCTCCCTGTACACTCATGCTGCTCTTACAAGGGCTGAGAGCAGAGGAAGGGTGACAGGAATGGCATGTGTCACAGGTGAGCCAGAAGTAAACTGAGATTCGTAACGAGGGCTTATTTGTGCCCAACGCCCACAGACAAGGGTCACGGTGGTTGGCCTCACCTCCCAGGGCAGGAACAGAGTCCTGCCAGTTATTCACACCTCTGCCCTCCACGAGCTTCCTGTGCCCGGAGTGCCTCTGGCCCCGCTCTCCTCGCACCCCATGCCTCGGCGGTTCCCCTGTGCTCACGTCCTTTGCCCCACCTGCCTCAGCGATCCCAGGCTACTCCATTTCTCGCCGTCCGTTCCCTGTCTCATCCCTGATCTCATTCTTCCCCACCCAAACTGCCCCACCCACCCAGATTGTCTCCCACGACCCACCTCCCTCCTTCGAGATACCGTAAGGCCTCCCCCAAACGTCCCCAGACCCTCCCAAACACCCCGGCATCCCCCAAATGCCCCAGGCCTCACCCCTTGCTAACAGCCTCCCTCACAAACAGCCCTTCAGTTGTCCCCAGGCCTTCCCTCGTGAACAGCGTCCACCTCCCCCCCAATTCCTGCCCAACGGCCCCGTGACTCCCTCTCCAAC